GTATCTCTTCAGATTCACCCCACAGCCCTCAGATTTTCAATCGGATTCAGGTCTGGGCTCTGGTTGAATTTTTTTGAATGTGATTGCTTAATTGAGTTGTACAGTTTATAGCTCACATTAAAAGGTGGAAAAGTTCTGAAATGATTTATCTTTGCCTAATTTTTTTACATCACAGAAACCTGACATTTTAACATGGGTGTATAGACTTTTTATATCCACTGTATATACCTTGGATTTTCTGGCGTATAAGACGACTTTTTACCCCTTGAAAATCTTCTCAAAATTCGGGGGTCGTCTTTTTCGCCGTATATACGGCATGCTGACACTTTTTAGGGGAGCGGCGCGGTGCCGCCGCCGCCCCCCCCCTTCCAACGGAAGGGACACTAAGTACAGGGGTGGGTAGGGGCTGCTGTTTCTTACCTGGCTCCGGTGCAACGACGATCCGGTCCTGGAAGCGCAGCTGCTCCTTCATTCAGTTCGGCCACTGGATGTTCGCACGGCTGCTCGGTTCCGCCTCCTCGCCGGTGATTGGCCGCCAGAACTGTAGCTCAGGATAGGCACACAGGTGGCCAATCACCAGCGAGGAGGCGGAGCCGAGCGGCCCCACACGAAAATCGAGTAAAGGAGCGGCCGGTAAGTTTGCCGTGCAGAGGTGCTGCTGCAACCACATATGCTGGCTGCAGCAGCACCATACTGGAACAGGGGTCAGCAAGTGTCATTGGTGTCAGTGGGAGGAATAGTGCCCATCATTGGTGTCACTGATACTGATATTATTCCTCCCACTGACACCAACGATGGGGCACTTTTCCTCCCCCCCCCACTGACACCAATGATGGGGCACTATTCCTCTCCCCCCCCCCTCACTGACACCAATGATGGGGCACCATTCCACCCCCCCACCGACACCATTGATGGGATACTATTCCTCCCACTGACACCAATGATGGGGCACTATTCCTCCCACTGACACCAAAGATGGGGCACTATTCCCCCCACTGATACTAATGATGGGGCACTATTCCTCCCACTGACACCAATGATGGGGCACTATTCCTCCCACTGACACCAATGATGGGGCACTATTCCCTCTCCCCCCCCCCCCTCACTGACACCAATGATGGGGCACCATTCCCCCCCCCCCCCCACCGACACCATTGATGGGATACTATTCCTCCCACTGACACCAATGATGGGGCACTATTCCTCCCACTGACACCAAAGATGGGGCACTATTCCCCCCCACTAATGATGGGGATTCCTACTAATGATGGGGCACTATTCCTCCCACTGACACCAATGATGGGGCACTATTCCTCCCACTGACACCAATGATGGGGCACTATTCCTCCCACTGACACCAATGATGGGGCACTATTCCTCCCACTGACACCAATGATGGGGCGCTATTCCTCCCACTGACACCAATGATGGGACGCTATTCCTCCCACTGACACCAATGATGGGACGCTATTCCTCCCACTGACACCAATGATGGGGTGCTATTCCTCCCACTGACACCAATGATGGGGTGCTATTCCTCCCACTGACCAAATGATGGGGCACGATTCGTCGCTCTGACACCAGTGATGGGGCACTATTCCTCCCACTAATACCAATGATGGGGCACTATTCCTCCCACTAATACCAATGATGGGACACTATTCCTCCCACTGACACCAATGATGGGACACTATTCCTCCCACTGACACCAATGATGGGGCACGATTCTTCCCACTGGTGTGCATTGGAAGAGGGGTAGTCTTATATGGCGAGTATAGCCCAAACACTACATTTTAACAGGAAAAGTAGGGGGTCTTCTTTTACGCCCAGTTGTCTTATACGCCGGAAAATACGGTACATAGATATATGTATATATTACTGTGCAAAAGTTTTAGGCAGGTGTAAAGAAATGCTGTTAAGTAAGCATGCTTTCAAAATATATATATTTTAATTAGGGGTGCACCGAAATTTCAGTGGCCGAAATGTTTAGGTCAGAAACACCCCTATCGGACGTTGGCCGATATGAAAAAAAAAAACTATACAGGTGCTGAAAAAAACCTCGCCACCCGCGCCGCCCCTTGCCGCCGCTCGGTAGTTCTCAGCCTTACCTGAGTAACCATCGAACAATCCTGTCGCTGGGCACAGAGATTAGTGAAGGAAAGATGGCCTCCACTCATCTCTATGCCCTTGGAGGACCGAAGCGATGTCATTTCCGGTTTTGGGCTTTTTTTTTTTTTTTTTTTTTTTTTAAAAGCACTATATCAATGCTTATTTTTTTTATCTAATGCTTTACATTGACCCCATATCTCTCCATAAAGAGCACCTGTCACTAATTATTTCTATCACAAAGGATGCATGCATTCCTTTTGATAAGAATAAAATTGATTAAAACATTTTTTAAAGGGACAGTGCAAAAAAAAATCCAAAACATTAAATACATTTTTTTAAATAAGTTTGACATGCCCCTGTCCCCCCGTGCTCGCTTGTAGTGGTGACCGCATATGTAGGAAACACATATGTAAATGGTGTTCAAACCACACACATGAGGTATCGCTACGAACGTCGGCACAAGAGCAATAATTGTAGCACTAGACCTCCTCTGTAACGTTACACTGCTAACCTGTAGACATTTAGCAGTGTAGATTTTTTAAGTACCGCAGTTTGACGCCATTCCATGAGCGCATGAAATTTTAAAGCGTGACATGTTTGGTATCTATTTACTCGCTGTAACATCCTCTTTCATATTTTACAAAGAAATGGAGGTATATATTGAGGTTTTTTTTTTTTTTTTTCAATCAAACTATTTTTTATAAATATACATAATATAACATTTTTTAAAAACTGCGCATTTCGGTTATCTGCAAAGTGCATTTTGAATTTTTGGTTTTGGCCCCAGAATTTTAATTTCAGTGCACCACTAATTTTAATTGTTTATTTTTAGCAATGAAAGGATAAGTAGACCGTTTAACAAATAATAAATGCACATTTTTTGCAGGTTAAAAAAAATAGTGTGGGGGGGGGGGGGAGTTCCTCCGCTAGCGGTCGCAAAGGGGGATCGGGGGTTGGGAGTAGGGGCCAGTCTTTTGGTTACATGTAACATGAATATGGGCGGCACAGTGGCTTAGTGGTTAGTACTTCTGCCTTGCAGTAATTGGGTCGTGGATTCAATTCCCAACCATGGCGCCTCCTGGATGGAGTTTGCTTGTTCTCCCTGTGTTCGCGTCATTTTCCTCCGGGTACTACTCCGGTTTCCTCCCACACTCCAAAGACATGCTGGTAGGTTAATTGGCTCCTGTCTAAATTGTCCTAGTTTCATCCCTGGACATGCAGGATTTTCCTGCATGGTAGGGGTTGGGGAAAGACCTGGCAACCTACCCTGTAAAATAATTACAAGAGAATTCATGGAAAAATACGCTTACGAGTGACAGTCCATGCAATTGCCAAGGGTCGAATACGTCTGAATGGATAGATAGAACATGAATATGGATGTAACATGTTAAGAAAAGGTGAACTCATCCTTTAACAAAGGGCAAGGTGAGAGAACAAAGAGAAAATCTAAATCAAATCAATATTTGGTGTGACTACCCTTTGTCTGCAAAACTGCATCAATTCTTTCAGGTACACTTACATTATATTGCCAAAAGTATTGGGACACCCCTCCAAATCATTGGATTCAGGTGTTCCGATCACCTCCATGGCCACAGGTGTATAAAATCAAGCACCTAGGCATATGCAGACTAGCGTCGTACTGTGATAGATTGCCACCTGTGAAATTTCCTTGCTACTAAATATTCCATGGTCAACTATAGGTTGTATTATAACAAAGTGGAAGCAACTGGGAACAGCAACAACTCAGCCATGAAGTGGTAGGCTACGTAAAAAGACAGAGTGGGGTCAAGGCATGCTGAAGCGCACAGTGCTCAGAAGTCGCCAACTGTCTGCAGAGTGAATAGCTAAAGATTTCCAAGCTTCGTGTGGCCTTCAGATTAGCACAACAGTGCATAGAGAGCTTCATGGAATGGGTTTCCATGGCCGAGCAGCAGCAGCCAAGCCTTACGTCACCAAGTGCAATGAAAAGCATTGGATACAGTGATGTAAAGCACGCCGCCACTGGAACCTAGAGCAGTGGAGACGTATTCTCTGTAGTGATAAATCACGCTTCTCTGTCTGGCAATCCGATGTGTCTGGGTTTGGTGGTTGCCAGGAAAACGGTACTTGCCTGGGTGGATTGTGCCAAGTATAAAGTTTGGTTGGAGGAGGGATTATGGTGCGGGATTGTTTTTCAGGGGTTGGGCTTTGCCCCCTTTGTTCCAGTGAAGGGAACTCTTCAGGCGTCAGCATACCAAGACATTTTGAACAATTTCATGCTCCCAACTTTGGGGATGGCCCCTTCCTGTTCCACAATGACTGCGTACCAGTGCACAAACAATGTCCACAAAGACATGGATGAGTGGGTTTGGGGTGGAGGGACTTGACTGGCCTGCACAGTCCTGACATCAACCCAATATTGATTAGAATGAATTAGAGCAGAGACTGGGAGCCAGGCCTTCTCATCAGACATCAGTGCCTGATTTTACAAATGCGCTTCTGGAAAAATGGTCAAACATTCCTGTAGCCAGGGGTAGGCAACCTGCGGCTCTCTAGCTGTTGTCAACTACATTTCCCATGAGGATTGCAACATTACAAAACTGACAGTTACAGCTATAACTGGAGGCAATGGAACTTGTAGTCCTGCAACAGCTGGAACAGGTTTACCCCTGCTGTAGACACACTCCTAAGCCTTGTGGACAGTTTTTCCAGAAGAGTTGAAGCTGTTATAACTGCAAAGGGTGGGCCAACTCAATATTGAACCCTACGGACTAAGACTGGGATGCCATTAACGTTCATGTGCGTGTAAAGGGCAGGTGTCCCAGTGCCAATGTAGTGTATGTATTTCAACTGTGAATTTAGCTTTTTGACTACACATCTGTTTAAAGCATCTTCTACTTTTTTTCTTCTAGATGGTTTCATGGCAAGATTACCAGAGAACAGGCTGAACGGCTCCTATATCCACCAGAAACTGGGCTATTTCTTGTGCGTGAGAGCACAAACTATCCAGGGGACTACACACTATGTGTGAGCTGTGAAGGGAAAGTGGAGCATTATCGCATTATCTATAAGGCTGGAAAGCTTACCATCGACGAAGAAGTATACTTTGATAACCTAATGCAACTGGTGGAGGTAGGAGGCTCTAAACAAAATAGGCTCTTTATTCTGTATATATTAATGCCCAAAGTTAGTATATAAATTTTTTATGTAATGGGTGTTTAGGTGTTTTGCACTTAGAACAAAAAAGTACAGTCCCACCATGTCACTAGGACCTGAAGCCCACTTATAACTTTCAATTTTATAGCTAAGTACCACCACTGTATAAACAGGTATTTGTGTCCTTGTGACCCCATACTATTTTATCACAGCAACTTTTAAATTGAAAAATACCATATTATCTCCCTCTTAACTGAACCGATGAAGGGTTTATTAAGACCCCTTACCGGTTCATTACGTCACCTTATAGTGCTGGTTTCCAGACCCATGCCACATCCCTATCGGCCAGTGAGCCAGGCTCATCATGATGGGACAATGATATGATAATGATATAAGGGACTGTCCAGCATTTAGCTGTATGCAAGCTTTTTGAAGCTTGGTGCCCACATCTTATGCCCACAGCATTTTGTTCCCTAGAGAATGGAGTCTTTTAACGTAAAGGAAATGCAGTTAGTCTGGCTTTAAACATGTTACCTTAGTATTATTATTATTATTTTATTATTATTATTATTATACAGGATTTGTATAGCACCAACAGTTTGTGCAGCGCTTTACAAAATGAAGGTAAACATTACAGTTACTATACAATTTGGTACAAGAGGAATCAGAGGGCCCTGCTAGTTAGAGCTTACAACCTAGGAGGAAGGGTTGAGTGATATAAAAGGTAATAGCTGTGGGGGATGAGCTGATGGAAGAAATAAAGTCATGAGCTGATTGATGAAATAAAGGTAGCTTACTAATTAGAAGCAGGATAGGCTTCTTTAAAGAGAGTGGTTTTCAGGGATCGTCTAAAAGTGGATAGATTAGGAGATAGTCTGACAGATTGGCGTAGGGACTGCCATAGGATAGGAGAAACTTGGGAGAGGTCCTGGAGTTGAGCATGGGAGGAGGTGACACGGGAACTAGAGAGCAGAAGATCTTGGGAGGATCGAAGATAGTGGTTTGCTTGATATTTTGAGACCAGGTTGGTGATGTAGCAGGGGACAGAATTGTGGATGACTTTGTAAGTTGTCAGTATTTTGAATTTTATTCGTTGTGCGAGTGGAAGCCAGTGGAGGGATTGGCAGAGAGGGGTAGCAGACACTGAACGGTTGGTAAGGTGGATGAGCCTGGCAGCAGTATTCATGATGGACTGGAGGGGGGATAGCCATTTAAAAGGTACGCCAATGAGGAGGGAGTTGCAGTAGTCGAGGCAAGAGATAACCAGGGAGTGAATTAGGAGCTTTGTGGTATCATTGGTTAAGAAGGGGCATGTTCTGGAGATATTGCGGAGCTTGAGGTGGCATGATTTGGACAGGGGTTGGATGTGGGCTTGAAAGGACAGTTCAGAAATCCAGGGTTACCCCTAGCCCCTGGCATGCGGGGATGGGTTGATAGTGGTGCTATTGATCCTGACAGAGAAATCAAGGGATAAGGCACGTGGGGGAGGAAATATTATGATCTCCGTTTTGGATAGATTGAGTTTTAGGAAGTGGTGTGACATCCAGTCTGATATATCTGTTACCTCATGTTTAAAGCTGAACTTCAGACAAAGAAAATACACAGTAATTGATATTTATTAAAATACGTTTAAATACTACTAGTGTAAGTACCTCAACATGACTTGATATCAGTCTTTTGTAATCACATGTATAGCAGGGCTTAGACTAGGAGTGATGGGCAGCAAAAAAAATTTCAGCTCACTTACCAGCCTGTCTGCAACAAAACCGAATTGACCCTGTCTAACAGTTCACATTAAAAACAAGGTATTTAGTCGCACACATTTGCAAATATATGTGTAAGCTGCAGTGGCCACGTCAAGACTCCCCAGTGTACTGCAGTTCTAACTCTATAATTATGAGTGTCTCCCAAATTGGAGCATGTATAGCAGTGGATAGGTTAAGGGCAGGTGTGCCTGGAGGAAGCCCCCCTCCTTAAAGGTACAGGGATGCAGAGGACATCCAGCGTGATCACAATGGCAGATGAAGGTATCCTGTGCGTCCCTGCACCGATTCACAAACTATACAAACAAATTGCAACCACCCAAACCTGTAACACCTGCTCTTAATCTATCCACTACTATGTGTGCTCAAATTTGGAAGATTCTCATAATTACAGCGTTAGAACTGCAGGGTTGCCTTGATGTGGCCACTGCAGCTTCTATACAGTGCTCAGCATAAATGAGTGCCCCCCTTTTTGAAAAGTAAGATTTTAATCAATATCTCAATGAACACAAGAACAATTTCCAAAATTTTGACAAAACTGAGATCTATAGAACATTTGTTTAGAATAGATCATTACATGAAAATAAGTTAAATAATTTAACTTTGATTACAAACTCTTCAGTTTTACTCAAATTAGTTGGTGCAAAAATGAATACACCCCATAACAAAAACTACTACATCTAATATTTTATATGACCTCTGATTTGTAAGGACAGCACCAAGTCTTCTAGGCGTAAAATGAACAAGTTGGCGGCATATTACAACATCAGTCTTTTTCCATTCTTCAAGAACAACCTATTTTAGAGCCTGGATGCTGGATGGAGAGTGATGCTCAACTTGTCTCTTCAGAATTCCCCATAGGTGTTCGATTGGGTAAAGATCAGGAGACATACTTGGCCACTGAATCACTTTCACCCTGTTCTTCAGAAATGCAATATTGGCCTTATATGTGTGTGTTTTGGATAATTGTCATGTTGGAAAAGTGCATGATCACCAAAGGCACGGAGTGAAGGTAGCACCTTCTCTTTCAATATAAAGCAGTACATCTGTGGATTTATGATACTATAAATGAAATGCAGCTCCCGACACCAGCAGCACTAATGCAGCCCCAAAGGAGGACACTGCCACCACCATGTTTCACTGTAAGCACCATGCATTTTTCTTTGTAATACTCCCTTTGCGATGCCACAGTTTTGAAGCCATCAGTTACAAAAACATTTATCTTGGTCTCATCACTCCAGAGTACAGAGTCCCAGTAGTCGTCTTTTTCAGCATCTGCAAATTCTAGGTGGGCTTTTTTGTGCATGGGCTTTAGGAGAGACTTCCTTCATGGACGACATCCATGCATGCCATTCCTCTGCAGTGTACTCCATATTGTGTCACACAGAACAATCACCCCTTGGCTTTCTACTCCTTTAGCTAACTGCAGTGAACTTGCATGGTGATTTTCTTCAACCCTTCTCATCTGAAGATGCTCCTTAGAGGTGATAATCTCCATGGACAGCCTGGACATCTCTGTGAAATGGTTTAATTCTATCTTTGTTAGATTTTTTTTTTTATCACTTTTGCTACAGTATTCTCACTGACAAGTAAAGCTTTGCTGATCTTGTAGCCTTCACCTTTCTTTTGTAAAGAAATAATTTTCTTTCTCAGGCCTTGTGACATTTCTCTTCCATGTGGTGCCATTGCTGACAGCATGAAATGGGAAGGGGTTTTCTTTAACCACTAGCCTGCAGGGCACTTATATCCCCTTCCTGCCCAGGCCAATTTCCAGCTTTCAGCGCTGTCACACTTTGAATGACAATTGCGCGGTCATGCAACACTGTACCCATATGAAATTTTTATCATTTTTTTTTTTAGACAGAGCTTTCTTTTGGTGGTATTTAATCACCTCTGGGATTTTTATTTTTTCTTAAACAAACCAAAAACCACTGAAAATTTTGAAAAAAAAAAAAGTTTTTTCTTAGTTTTTGTTATACAATTTTGTAAATAAGTGATTTTTCTCCTTCACTGATGTGCGCTAATGAGGTTGCACTGATGGACACTGATAGGTGGCACTGATGAGGAGGCACTGGTAGATTGCACTGATGGGCATTGACAGGCATCACTGATGGGCACTGATACGTGACACTGATAGGCAGCACTGACTGGCACAGTTAGGCGGCACTGATAGGCAGCACTGATGCGCACTGATAGGTGACACTGACTGGCACTGATAGGTGGCACTGATTGGCAGCACTGATAGTTGGCAGTGATTGGCACTGATAGGTGGCACTGATTGGCATTGATGGGTGACATTGAAAGGCAGCTCAGATGGGCACTGATATGTGGCATTGATGTGCACTAGTATGCACTGATATGTGGCATTGATGTGGCACTGATGGGCACTGGCAGGTGGCACTGACTGCTAGCACTGATGGACACTTCTGGGGCCACACTGATCATCAGGGCACACTGATCATCAGTGCCGTGATGATCAGTGTACATGTCCCCTCCGCGGAAAGCCTATTACCGGCTCTCCTCTCCTCTTGAGCTTTTAGCGTGACAGCTCGAGACTAGAGAAATGCCGATAACCGGCATTTCCGTGTTTACATGTGATCAGCTGTGATTGGACACAGCTGATCACATGACCGAGCCGACATCTTTGGCTCTTTCCGAGATCGGACACAGCGCACTGGCGATCGCCGCGCTGCGTGCTCCCTGAGCTGCGCATGTGCGGTGAGAATGGAAGGACGTCATATGACGTCCTATCAGAATGAGAGAACCACCTTGCGCTCGTCATTGTACTATATGGCGGGCGGAAGGTGGTTAAGTAACACCCTTTTATAATGAACTGTTTGCTGGTCACCTGTTTAATGAATTAATAGACTCACCTGTAGTTGATTTCTTGTTAATTAGAATTTTGTTGTCTAAAATATAGCTTTGCTCCTTAGACTTTCATTGGGATGTGTTCATTTTTGCAACATGGTCGTGAATGAATTTGTGAGGAAAAATACTTGTGTGTGCGCAAATTAACAAATCTTGTTTGCAATCAATGGCCTGCATTTCTGGGAGTATTTTGCAGTATAGTATCCCATAGAAAATGTTGATTCTAAAAGAAAAGTAAAGGTTTACTGACAAACCTGTTGGGATGTGCTCATTTATGCTGAGCACTGTATATATTTGCAGATGTGTGCGACTAAACCCCTTGTTTTTAGTGTGAACTGTTAGGGTCAGTTCAGTTTTGTTACAGGCTGGCTGGTAAGTGAGCTGGTAATTTTTGTTCTTGATGTGCGTTGCCTTTTCATTTTTCTTTCTTGCTGCAAAGGCTAGTCATAGGTTGGCGTGGTTGCCATTTGTTTGAACAGTGAGTGATGGGCAGCACTAGGAAGTGGTAAGGTTAGCTGCACGAAGAGTGACGAGGAACATGTTGACAGGAGAAGAGAGCAGAGGGGTGAACTCCTCAGTCTTCTGCTGTTTCTTCACTGTCCAATGAGCAGGTTGAGGGCAAGGAGGTGACTTGGCAATATTTTTCAACCTCAACAGAGAAAGGTTGGGTCACTAGCATATTTCTGTCTGACAGGACTATATAATTTTCTGGACTGATGTACAGAAAAAGAGGTCCTTGAGAGGTAAATCAGCTCCTACATATGTACTTTAAAGGTGTAATCCACCTTTTGCAAATATTTAATAAATGCACTTATTTTAATAATATAAAGAGTATGTATTAAATGTTTGAATTGAAGCCTGCAGAGCATTGCAACCATGATCAGTGCATCGCTGGTGCAATGCACAGGCTCCTGCACTCCTTTCCCCCCAGCTGCATATGGAGGTGTAGACCCTCTCTTAAGGGACTGAAGGAAGTAAACAATAAACTACGAATGCAGTGACAATTGTACCCCGCTGAGATTTGTGAGTCCCTTTGCTGTGGTTGCAGATGGCACTTGTAGTCTATCCATTCACAGATTCCTGTGAATGCTTGGCGCAGATGTGTAGGCAGAGACACACTATGCAGCACCAAATTCAAAAAGAAAACTGAATGCTGCCAGGAAAAACAACCCACAGTTCAGGTGGGTAGGGGGTGAAGATGAGTGAAACCTGAAACAAGGTTTTAGACTAGGTTCACACTTGTGATGCATATGTACTTTAAAGGCATAATCCACCTTTTGCAAATATTTAATAAATGCACTAATTTTAATAATATAAAGAGCATGTATTAAATGTTTGAATTGAAGCCTGCAGAGCATTGCAACCATGATCAGTGCTATGCTGATGCAATGTACAGGCTCCTGCAATCCTTTCCCTAGCTGCATATGGAGGTGCAGACCCTGTCAGATTCCTGTGAATGCTTGGCGCAGATGTGTAGGCAGAGACACACTATGCAGCACCAAATTTAAAAAGAAAACTCTGCCAGGATAAACACTCCACAGTTCAGGTAAGTAGGGGGTCATTTTAGGGTAGGAGGTGAAGTTGTGAAACCTGAAACAAGGTTCTAGGTTTCACACTTGTGTGAGTCAAGAATGCTTACAAAATTGTACGTGCTGCAAGTCTGCAGGCAAAACGCATTGCTCTATACCAGGCACGCAGGGGTGCCATTAATTCTTAGTTTCACCCCCACACATCAGCCAATGCAGCACATTTTCATGTGTGCCAAATCACATGGTCCTGTGGTATCTCACAATTTAAAAAAGTCAAAAGAATGGGCTGCTGTAACCACAAAGTATACACACAAATGTGCTGCCCATATGTGAACCTAGCCTTAAAGGAAAATTGTGCTTTTAAATGTGCTTGTAGCTGTGTGCCTGAAATTCAGATCCAAATCACGGTATTGGGGAGACTGTGCCAATTCATTTTGTCAAACATCTTGGCACTTTTTTTTTTTTTTTTTTAAACAAACATTGCATTCAATACATGAATGTAATTCAACAAATACAGATGATTAAAACTGATTTGGGCTAAAACGGTTTTTGTGTTTTTTTCAGTTTAGAAGGCGGTATGGGGAGGGTTAGAACCTCTGTCGATATTCTATTTCTGTCTACCCACAGTTGAGAAATTTTTTTCTTCAATGCTTTTAATTTTGATCCTACAGAACAGGAAGCAAGAGTTTAACATTTTTTACCATAAGAGGTTTGAAATATGTATAAGAGATCAAAATAAAATGTTTGCTGTCGCAGAACGCATGCCTTTTTTTTTTTTTTTTCTTCAGACAGTGACTGCTTTGTGGGGTTGAACAATATACATCTGCAGTCCCAAGGGGGGAAATGGTAATATACTGTATCTGAGAGTTTAGCTTGCCTAGTTAGACTGGGTGAAATTCTAAATACCTTTAATATACTGGCATTTAGGAGAGGTGGCTGGTAAACTGGGTTCAAATCTGTCAGGATCCTGGCCATCCTGTGGTGAAGAAACTTTCTTTTCAGTAAATGTAATACTTCTCATTTGGAAGGCTGTCTGATGATCCTTTGGCAGTTTTGAAAGGGGACATGTCTCAGCAAGCAGGGCTGATTATTGATGGAATACACATTCCTAAAACGATTTTCTGGACAAAACACATTTCCCCACTTCTTTGCCTCCTAAAAGTCCACTTTTCCAAGCCTACCTGGGCAAGCTTAAGTGAGCGTTTTCACTTACAGTTTTTAGGTAGGCAGGTGGTAATAGTCGATTTCAAAAGAAGCTAATAATGGCGATTTTAGGGACCCCCAAAAGCTTTAACGCATGTTAAGTACTATAGGGACATAATTCTGTCTTTAGATCTGTTGTCTGACAGATGAGCCTATGCAATTGGCATGGTCTTAAACATTCTGCATTTTATTTTTTTTTCTATATTAAACTGCTTCTGCAGAAGTGCATTGCATACTATATTTGCAAGCTGTTTTGCAAACCCAAGTGTCACTGTACATAAATATATGGTGCGAACATCTTCCTGAGCATGAGTAATCCCCTCACCCAGCTTCCTGTGCCAGGAACTGAGATAGGCCGATGTGACAGCGCGCAGCCACAGTCTGTGTTCTGTGCACTGCTACTGTGACAAAATGAGAACTCTCATCAGCATTTAGAAAGAAATGTCACATACATTCTTTATTACATTTTAAAAAAGCAGCTTATATTACAGGTGTTATTTGGTACCACGTGACTAAGCATATTTTTACAGTAAAAATATACAGGGGTTAGACTAAAAAATGGAAACACTACTTGCAGGTGTGAAAGTGACATGTTTTGCATTGAAAGCGGGAGTGGTGTTGCTTTTTGTTTCCGCTGTGTGATGAGACACCTAGCTAACAGATGGGAAGCCTCACATTAGTCATTCACTGTGTACGCTACTAGTAATACAGAGTCATGTCAGAGCTTACTGAGCATGAAACAACTGTTGCCAAAGTGACTGCACAGCTCAATCTCAGTCCAGTGAAGCTGTGCAGTCACTTTTACAGCAGTTTTCTTATTCTAGGCCACAATCCTGCACAATGTCCTTTTTTGTCTTTTTCGGTCAGCTGACCATGTCGACCGCACTTATACTTATCAGACGATGTTTTCCGGGAAACTGGATATGCCGTCATAACCTTTTTAATACTGACCCCACGACAAGGCAAATAAATTGTCAACTTCAGTCACAGAGGCATCGCACACAGTGAATGGCGAAAGTGAGGCTTCCCACCTGTTAGCTAGGTGTCTCATCACACAGTGAAAGCAAAAGAATGTTACTTCCGCTTTCAATGCGAAACAGGTCACTTTCACACCTGCAAATCATGTACTTTTTCCATATTTTTGTCCAATCCCTGCATTTGTCTACTTTTGTGACATATTTTTTTTTTTTTTTTTCTTTCTTACCTTCTTTCAAAATTTTGCAAATAAATATTTCTTTTTAAAGTTATGCCAAAATGTATTTTACTACATTTCTTTGGTAAAAATAACGCAAATCTGTATATTTAGTCTGTGTAAAAGTCTACATACTATTGTGTATATACACTATAGTGCCAAAAGTAATGGGGCGCCTGCCTTTACACACGCATGAACTTTAATGGCATCCCAGCCTTAGTCCATAGGGTACAATATTGAGTTGCCCCCCCCCCCCCCCCCTTTGCAGCTATAACAGCTTCAACACTTCTGGGAAGGCTGTCCACAAGGTTTAGGAGTGTGTCTATGGGAATGTTTGACCATTCTTCCAGAAGCACATTTGTGAAGTCAGACACTGATGTTGGACAAGAAGGCCTGGCTCGCAGTCTCCGCTCTAATTCATCCCAAAGGTGTTCTATTGGGTTGAGGTCAGGACACTGTGCAGGCCAGTCAAGTTCCTCCACTCCAAACTCTCTCATCCATGTCTTTATGGACCTTGCTTTGTGCACTGGTGCGCAGTCATGTTGGAACAGGAAGGGGCCATCCCCAAACTGTTCCCATAAAGTTGAGAGCATGAAATTGTCCAAAATGTCTTGGTATGCTGACGCCTTAAGAGTTCCCTTCACTGGAACGAAGGGGCCAAGCCCAACCCCTGAAAAACAACCCCACACCATAATCCCCCCCTCCACCAAACTTTACACTTGGCACAATCCATTCAAGCAAGTACCGTTCTCCTGGCAACCGTCAAACCCAGATACATCCATTGCAATATCAAAAGCGTGATGTGTCACTCCAGAGAAGACGTCTCCACTGCTCTAGAGTCCAGTGGTGGCATGCTTTACACCACTGCATCCGATGCTTTGCATTGCACTTGGTGATGTAAGGCTTGGATGCAGCTGCTCGGCCATGGAAACCCATTCCATGAAGCTCTCTATGCACTGTTGTTGTGCTAATCTGAAGCCAACACGAAGTTTGGAGGTCTTTAGCTACTGACTCTGTAGACAGTTGGCTACTTCTGCACACTGTGTGCATGTGCTCACCCCACTCTGTCATTTTACGTGACCTACCACTTCATGGCTGAGTTGCTGTTGTTCCCAGTTGCTTCCACTTTGTTATAATACCCCTAACAGTTGATCATGGAATATTTAGTAGCAAGGAAATTTTCACGAATGGACAACCTATTACAGTACCACGCTTGAATTCACTGAGCTCCTGAGAGCGACCCATTCTTTCACAAATGTTTGTAGAAGCAGTCTGCATGCCTAGGTGCTGGATTTTATACACCTGTGGCCATGGAGGTGTTTGGAACACCTTTAGCCAATGATTTGGAGGGGTGTCCCAATACTTTTGGCAATATAGTGTATATTTGAAAATTAATCTGATTGTTTCATTTGTTAAGGCCCTAAAATGCCAGGACAGTACAAATACCCCCAAATTACCCCTGTTTTGGAAAGTACAGTCCAAGGTATTTAGTAAGAGGCATGTCAAGTTGTAATGTTTTTGTCAAATTTTTTGGAACATGTGGAAATTAAAGTTTTTGTTTTCCAAGTGTCCTCCCCACAATTTTTTTTTTTTTTTTTTTTTTTACATATGGTCACCAGTGCAGTACAGCGTGATCATATGACTGGTGTGGTGGTGAGCAGGGATACTGACTGTTGACAGTATGTAAAAAATACATTCATAAAATACATCATTTTTTTAAAACCATACTGTCATAAGAGTAGTTCAGAGTCACTGTGTGGGTTTGGGTGTGTGGCGGAAGGATGGGGTAGTAATCAGGGATTTTTTTTTTTTTTTGTTTACTTATTACAGTGGTGATCACTGTTATAAGCAACATTTAACAGAGCTCGCTTTCTATTGATATGCTGTGATTGATCACAGCTAATCACATGGTTTAGAGTGTCGGGTATATCAAGGTGTAGCGCTCAAAATATATTTTAATGAACATATTAAATATTCCAAAAGTCCCAAGAAAGAGTTCAGAAATTGTGAACACCTCTAATGTGCCGTGAAAAACAAACGTCCATGTTCTCCTTCTACACCATCTACCACTGGTGAGCACATATAGCCTCCTACCAAAATGTTTTGAATCTCTAAATATCGAGAGGCCAAATAGCGCTTATTAATTAAGGTTCCCAAACTCATGCGCATTCAAGGTTCAACATCCTTCACCAGACTTCATCCATTCCCTCAAGTTCAGCTCGGCCACTTTTTCATGTACCTGGAACTCACTCCTCCTCAGCAGCAGTCTGGAGGCAGGGTGTTGGGTGCCATGTGATAGCTGTGGGCCAATCACATCATCATAACAGTAAACAAACAGTCATGAATGTAAGACATTCATGACTGTTTTGTTTACATTGTAACCATGTGATCACTATGATTGGTCATAGCGATCACCTGATACCCCGGCCACTCACAGAGGCTGGGTACTGAGCACTGTGATTTTCTGGGTCCACCATACAAAGCGGTCATGGGATCATGCCACTGCGCAGCCCATGACGCATGCCAGTGCGCAAGTGCTCAGCGATATATCAGTACGTTGCTGAACCTAACTGTGCTGCCTGCACTGTGAGCGGGCGGTAAGTGGTTAAAAAGCTAGGAACTATGACCCAGAAAATGTTGACTTTTGCCACTGGAGTCTCCTGGTTTTGATGACTTGGAAGTCAGTGGATGACTTATGTCCGATATGGTATACACGGGCCAGAAATCGTCCAGTACAGTGGTTTGGTGCCTGTTCACATCTATGCAGCATGGTGCAGTGTGATTTTTTTGTTTTTAATTTTTTTTAAAATTTGAATAAAAAGGTGCAGGTGCTTCTTTAGTGCGCTTTTGGTCCCATAGATTTCATAGGGGGTGCATAAAAAAAGGTAGGAAAATGCATGTACATGCTTTTTTTTTGGCAGGGTTTTGTGATTAACAAAAATACATGCAGCATGAAAATGCATCAAAAACACTCTACAATAATGCACTGAAAAAGACGATTATGCAGCACCATGTATGATCCTAGGCTTAAAGACGATTTTTCAGATCAGCAATAGCAGCCCCCACATTTCTGTCTTGCCAAGTTTACAGATGCAGATTGTATGTGGATTTGTCAGCCTCTAGTGGTTAAATAGGAGAACTGCACAGATAGTCCTTACTTTTTACTTTTTCATTTCCAGCACTACACTAACGATGCAGATGGCCTCTGCACTAGTCTAATGAAGCCCAAACTAATGGAAGGGACCGTGGCTGCTCAGGATGAATTCTCCCGGAGTAAGTATCACATAAAACTTTTATGTTCTGAGAAAACTGTTCTGTATTGAGTAGTCAAATAACACAAGGTAGCAAAAAGTATCCATATGCACATATTCTATTGGCACGTTAGCCTCAGTGTGTATAAAAGGCTCTAACCCATTTTAGCTTTTGAGCCACATGAAATGAGTGGCACAAAAGCAATAAAATATCATTCAAAAAACTAAACTGTTGATAGTAAATGTTTTCATGAAATGGTATTCATAAGGCAGAATGTATTGTTCAACGGCAGGTTGGCACTGAGGGCCTGGGTCTAGCTGTGTGTTAGAGTACAGTGATACACTATTTCCAGTTTGTGGTGTGTGTACATGGAATATTTAATACTGTGGTGGAATGCAGACTTGGCTTTTATGTCTCTCTTCCACATGTTCTTCCTCCCATGCTTTTTTACTCTTGTTTTAGGTGGTTGGGCTTTGAAGAAGAGTGACCTTCAAATTTTGCAGACCATAGGAAAAGGAGAATTTGGAGGTACAAAGTGATGAAATATTGACTTGAAATGTGTTTTTTGTTGAAAGCCTTTATTGTCCGGGTTACTGTATATTGCGTATTTATATACATTCTTGCATTAGAGAATATGACTTTCTTACTATTTCGGTTCTGTATTATGAACTGCCTTAAGGTTTTCGATCGTAGACTAAACCTAAATGGTACGTTTTTGTTTGTGATTCAAATACAGTTGCAAGGATTTAGCTGACTCTTGTAATTTAAAAGGCTCATCAGCCACCAGAAATCACTTTGTGTCTGTGTTCCCCAAATGTCATGCTTGGCATAAGTAAGTGCCTTGCTCTGGCCAGGGTACATTTCCACTCTGAAATTCTGTGCATTGATCCCTTTACTGTAACACCAAATATGTTGCCACTTTTTGGTGATCAGTTGTCAGACCAAGCCCAGATTATTAGGTGTGTTCTTCAGACCTCCTGTTTTATCATTGAGGCCGGGAAAGAATGTAATACGGTGCGATGTGCACTGCATTACATTCAGTGTAGTACAGGGGAGACATGCAGGGTCTTTTAGACCTTGCATGTCTAAAAAAAAAAAAAAAAAAAAAAAAAAAAAAAAAAAGAGAACCTGTCACCAAAAAATCATCACATAAGGAACTTTTTGTCCCGTATGTGATTAAAAAAAAAAAGTTATAATTTTTTTTTTTTTTTTAATGGAAGTTAGACCCAAGCTTATAATACCTCCAAATTGTTCAAGACCCCCCACATATGTACGCATGCACAAATGTAAAAGCACATACTCGGGTGCCTACACATGAAAACGTGGATTGTGATACACATGTTACATATCGCCGCGCATGCTAGAGTGAGAGCAATAATTCTAGCACCAGACCTCCTCCGTACACTATACTGATGACCTATAAGGGTCTTTAAAAGTGTCGCCTATAGAAAATATAGGGTACAAAAGTCTGTTGCCGTTTCACAAGCACACGCAGATTTAAGGTTTGACATGTTGGATATCTGCTTACTTGCTGCAACCTCGTCTTTTATATTTTACAAAAAAAATGGATAATTTATTGCTTTTTGTGCCCTAAAATTAACTATGCTTTCACAAAATATATCATGCTTGGGGTTTTGTGTAATGTTCAGGCCTAAAACGATTTTTTTAAATGTGTGCAAATAACGCAAAAACAGCTCTGGCAGCGAAAGGGATAAAGGATAAGTCCAACACTCCCCTTTCCTGGTGAGCAGCCAATCGGTGCTCATAGCACTGCAAGATCTCTCCCCTCCCTGCTAGTCCCTGGGTGCAGTGCTGGAGACAGACAGACAAGCATAGAGGGGAGGAGGAGATAAACAGCGCAATGTTAAAAATATTAAGCGTTTAAGTCACTTTAAAGCCCCATTTGTTTTTTAAAAGCCCCAGACATTACTTAAAGCAGATTTAAATACAGTTTTGGCTAAAATTTGTTTTTTAACTGGACAAGTAGATTGTCATGAGGGACAAGAAGATTGGGACACCGATTTAGTCCCTGGACAAGTAGTTTTTTAAAAAATTTCCATACACCTGTGTCATAAAAAATATCCAATCAAAAAATCAAATTTCTTCATAAGTTTAGGCCAAAATGTGTTCTGCTACATGCCTTTGGTTAAAAAAAAATAAAGTTCCAGTAAGTGTATATTAATTGTTTTTTATGAAAGTTATAGCATCTACAAACAATGGTAAATATATTTGAAAATTGATCATTTCTGATGTGCTGACGGTCTTTCATTTCTTGAGGCCTTCAAAATGCCAGGACAGTACATATACCCCCAAAATGACCCCTTTTAGGAAAGTAGACAGTCAAAGGTATTTAGTAAGAGGCATGAAGAGTTTTCTTCTGAAGTTATTTTTTGTCACAATTTTTTGGAACATTAGGTAATTAAAAAAGTGTTTTTGTTTTTTCACCACTTTTTTTTTTTTTTTTACACATACTATCACCAGTACAGTACAGCATCATCACATGACTGGTGTGATGGTGATCAGGGTCACTGGTGACTGTATGTAAAAAAAAAAAAAAAAAAATTTCTAATTAAATTATTTTAAATTCAGGTTTTTTACTTTTTTTTTTTTTACATCCATCATAGTAGTTCCGTGTCACTGCAGTAATGTTTTGAACTGTGATGAATGGGTTTGATTGCTAGTGATCTGTGATTGGCTACAGCTAACCACTTGGTACAGGGTGCTGTTATTGGCTCAAGTACTATGTGATAGCTGTGGGCCAATCACAGCTCACTGGTATAGGAAACAGAGCTGTTATGCTTTGTTGACATTGTGATCATGTGATCTCATAGCGATCACATGATCCCTAGTCCACTGGGAGTGGCCCGGTAATGGGAGCCACAATCTGCTATGTGCATGCAGTTACGACGTACATATACGTGATCCAGACTGCGTGTGCTGCCTGCCAGCAGTAAATGTACTGTGGGCAGTCGGCAAGTTTTTAATCATTTTGCCCAACAGAGGCATTCTGGATGCATAAATCTGTAATGTGTGTTATATGGATTCCTTATATGTCTGGTGCTATAATTGTGAGCATTGCTTACTGGCACTACTAAACATATTTACCAATTTTTTTTTTTTCTTCAAGATGTCAAGTTGGGTGAATACAAGGGAACAAAGGTAGCTGTAAAATGTATAAAGAATGATGCAACTGCACAAGCTTTTGTTGCTGAGGCGTTAGTCATGACGTGAGTATATTACTTAATGTTAGTTACTGGTAACACATTAATATCAGAAACAAACGATTCACTAACAGCTAAAACTAATGCCCACTACTCCATACTCGTACTACTAGACCGTTCTAAAGTCTTTGATATTGTTAACTGCCCACACCTCCTCACAAAACGTCCCTGGCCTCCTGGTTCTCCTCCTACCTGTCAGTGTTCTTTCGGTGTTGCCTACAACACTGTCGCTCCTCTCTATTTCCTCTTTCTGACCTCAGACCCCTTCAGTTCTCTATTTACACCTCCTCCCTTGGTCACCTAAATTCTCACAGCTTCCAGTACCATCTCTATGCAGACACCCAAATCTGTTCTGTCTCTCTACTCCTTACCTCAGCCCTTCATCCTCCTCTTGCCTTTTGCATGAATGTCACACCACTTTTTCAGACTCCTTCTTTCTATAACTGAGCTCATAATATCCCCCCGCCTGCCTTCTCCCCTGACTTCCCCATCAAGATACAACTGTCAGTCCCTCCCTTCATGTCAGGGTGCCAGGTGTAATCCTGGACCCTGACCTGTCCTTTCAGCCCTAAATCCAATCACTGTCCAAATCATGTAGACTTAAATACACTCCTTTTTAAACAATGACACCACCAAGTAACTAATTCATTCCTTTATCTCTCGCCTTGACTGTTGCAGTTTCATATGTTTACCTCTATTCATTCTTCTGCTACAGTCTATCATAAATGCTTCTGTCAGACTCCTCAACCTTACCAACCACTCAGTGTCTGTTACCCTTCTTTGCCAATCCCTCCACTGGCTTTTGATTGCCCAATAAAAAAAATTCAAACAACAACTTCTCCTTCCATGCTTGTCACCAGGACTTCTCCAGAGCCTCTTCCATCCTCTCAAACTCCCTACCCCAGTCTGTCTGGCTATCTCCTACCTTGTCCGCCTTTAGGCGATCCCTGAAAAATGAATCTCTCCAAGGAATGTTATCCTTCCTTCACCTAACAACTAAATCTTTGAATTCTCTCATCTGCTCATCCCTCGCAGTTATCTTTTTTTTCACTTGCCCTTCCCTATTGGATATTAGGCTTTCGGGAGGAGGACCCTCCTTAACCCTCTTGTATTGAATTGTATTCTAACTGTACTATCCCCCTTTTATGTAAAGTGCTGCACAAACTGTTGTTGCTATATAAATCCTGTATAATAATATCAGAGGTGTCCACAACATTTTTTATTTTAATATTAATGTATATACACACCCCAAGTAGATATGCCTTCACTGTCCTGACGCAGGAATAACTATAACGTTTGCCTTTGTATATCCTTTTTATTAAAAAAAAAAATGAAAGGATAAGTTCACCTTTTGGAACGTGTTACATGCACCACCTGTTTTTAGGGTGGAACATGTAACCTATTCCAGAAGCTGCCTCCTCTCCCCCTGATCCCTCTCCCTTTTGACAGTGGACTCCCCTCACCCGTTGTCACAATTTAGAAATAACACAAGGCCTTATCATCCATTCGCAGGTTCCTGCCTACGAGTACCATCTGCTATTGCAGTTGACGGCTTGTAGTTCTCAAGGAACTTTGAGGTTGGTGAGCGCTCTCGTAGTCCATTGATTCTTTCAGCATTCAAATAACTGCCTATCAGTCGAGATATGGGCAGACAGTTATGCAGAGAGTCTGCAGGAGCCTGAGATTGCAACTGCGATCTGCTGATTGTGGGTGCAATGCTCTGCAGGCTCATTAGAAAAAAAAAATGATAAATGCATTTTTTACCTGCAAAAAAATGTGCATTTATTATTTTTTCAAAATGTGAATGTATCCTTTAAAAGAATTTGAAAGAATCCTTTAAACTTTCAGACCCTAGAACATGCATATGTCACCTCTCTAATGCACAGAGGTTAGTCTATTGTCACCTTTTCATAGACACTTGACCCATATACTCCCAAATAGATTAGAAATTTGACATCTTACTTTTGCTTAGAACCCAGCCTACCTAGAACTTTCCATTTGTATAGACTGGTTTTGGAATGTCTCTGTTAAACCTGTGTAGATGGACTCAGGGACAGAACATTAAGGGCTAGTTTACAAATTTTATGGTGTTGTGCACATTGTACATGCATGCTGGTGTGAAGTGTAAATGCGCACTGCCTTGCTTTATTAAAATGCAGTGCAATGCTTGCCTTTTAAATATATTTCATATATTTTTTAAACTGAAAATTCAGGATGCATTTGGCTGAAAACTGAAATGGACAGATGTTTAAAAAAAAAAAATATATATATATATAATTTTTTTTTGTATTAAATCAATAATAATATTTATTTGCCATCATGAATATTAATTTATTTTCAGCACCTTTTCTGCCAATAGGCAGCTTTCACAGTAGTGAGTATAGTAGTTTTTGAAGCGCTTTTTTGTGTTTAAAAAAAAAAAAAAAGCTCAAGAAAAATGGATCCCTTTAAATTTAATGTATGTCTTCACACTGGTCCATTGTGCTTCCCTTGCGGTGTTAAAAATCCTGATTGACACATTTTTGGTGCATATTTAGAAATTAAAAAATTTTAAAAAAGAAAACCGCGCACAAAAAAACACACCTCCCCATTGAGGCTTGGTTCACACAATGCTTTTTTTTGTGCTTTTTGCAGAAATGCACTACAGTCCATTTAACATGGTTTCCTATGGGACATGCTTTTTTGGTTTACTGCGTTTTTGGAAAAGGTCAGAGATTTTTTTTAAATCAAAACTTAGCGTTTTTGGTTCAATAGACTTCAATGGAGATGCTGCAGAAAACGTATGTAGTGCTTTTTTTTTTTAAACTGTTTTTCACGTGTTTGACTTGTTTTTGAGGCATTTTGCATTTTTAGTCTGCCCAGCAACAAGTTGGCCCAAAAAAAAAAAAACATTTAAAAAACTACACAAATGCATTAAAAAAAGCACCAAAAATGCCCTGAAAGCAGACAAAACGCAAACTGCATTGGTGTGAACCAGACCTGAAATGCATTGAAAACGCATTAAAAATGCATATGTTGTGTTTTTGATTTTTAATCTGCCCAGCAACAAGTTGGCCAAAAAAAATATTGAAAAAAGTGTCAAAACAAACAAAACGCAAACTGCATTGATGTGAACCAGGTCTGAAATGCATTGGAACCACCGCAAAAATGCATAAAAAAAAACGCACACCTGTTGCGCTTTTGATGTGATTTTTTTTTTTTGAGTCTTCCGACCTATGAAAAACACACCTTAAATGTTGTAGAATTACGGCAAAATCGTGCGTTTTCGGTGGCCATTATTGGCAAAATGCCGATAACACTATTTTCTGCTGATACATTTCGGCCGCCGATCTATCGGTGCATCCCTATTTGTAATGCAGTGATGCATTTTGTAATGTGTTTTTTGCACTGCTAAAAAGAAATGTATGTCTACACTTTTCCCCAACACATACCAATGCAATGTTGACATGAACTGGGTACATAAACAGCAACAGTATTTGCTGTGTCCTTGCTTTGAGCCTGCATTGAGTAACTCACCTGCAAATATCTATTGCAGTTACCTACTTGTGACTTAGAAAAACGTATACAATTTATATTTCTAGGCAACTGCGACACAAAAATCTAGTTCAGCTGCTGGGAGTGATTGTTGAAGACAAGAGCAGTCTGTATATTGTCACAGAATTCATGGCAAAGGTAATTGATTTTGTGTTCTGCTTGTTTTCACCATAGTTCTGTATAGTCATGACGATTTCAGCAAATTTCTCTAATTAATTGAGCATGATATGTTGTTGTGAAAATGTAATACATGTGTGTAAGATAACTGAGCGAGTTTACAGATTCTCTGCCGCACTTTTATTGCTGTTTCCTGTGCTTCACCCAGAATTCCCATTTTTAGAACCTCTGTTGATTACAGTCCAGCAACCATCTGACATGTGTTTTTGCTTCCCAGGGCAGCTTAGTGGACTATTTAAGGTCTCGGGGAAGGTCGGTTTTAGGAGGGGAGTGTTTACTGCAGTTCTCTTTGTAAGTATTCCTTATCCATCTCTACTATTTAACCAGTTAAATCAAAATGTACTACAGTAGGCATTATTAAATATCAAGTTGACTAGTGGTATACCTAAATAAACTTCCAACAATGTTCTCTTATTTGCTCCCTTTTGGTCCGTTTCATATACCATTGAAAGCATTTTTATAAAACTGTTGGATACATTTTAAGTCCTTTATGGCTATGTAATTTATGGTATGTCATTTTTACACTGGTCTTTCTTAGAGATGTGTCAGAAGGAATGGAATATCTAGAAGACAATAACTTTGTGCATAGAGATTTAGCGGCACGCAACGTGTTGGTGTCAGAAGATAATATTGCCAAGGTCAGCGATTTTGGACTTACTAAAGAAGCCTCTGCAATACAAGACACCAGCAAACTGCCTGTGAAGTGGACATCGCCAGAAGCATTGCGGGAGAAGGCAAGTTACCTCTGTGATTTTCATAAATTTACCAACACTGTAACTACAAGTTACTCGTACCAAGGTTGCCCAAATTAGTAATGTGCATAGAATTTACAACAACTGAAAAGCACTTCAATATAGCCATATTAGGATGTGGTCTTTTATAGAAAAATACAGTTGGACACATTGAAGTAGATCTGTCATTAAACGTCACTCGCTTTGAGGTGCATGTCGGCATAAAAGAAACATAATTATTTTGAGCAGAAAAGTGCCTATTGCTTGCTATTACCTGAAAAAGACTGCTCTCCAGCTCCCTAAAGACTAACCTGGAATGCATGTTTTATGGCCAACAGAAGCCTTAGGGGTGTTTGATATATTTAAAGATTGCTGAGGACCTGTTCTCACCTGGCATGACCCTGTCTGGTAGACTTGCACACTGTGTAACACTGGTAAACACAAAGCAAAGACTGCATATGTAATGGGCTATTAAGGTTGCCCCCATGTATGTGTACATAATTACAGACTACACTTAAAAACAATCATTTTAAATAACACAAGGCTGGTTCTATCAATATCTGACAGACCTAAACATTGCATATTTATTCTGTTGTTTTTTTGTTTTGTTTTTATAATTTCTTTATTTTCAAAACGTTGCAGCTTACAGACATAGGTGAAAGCACCATAAATGAGGTAATAGAGAGTCTTACAGTCTAATCAAGTTCATATGACCATAAAAAGACAAGATGATCACACAGAGCACTGCAGACTGCCAGTGTGCTATCATACAGTGAACATAGAAGGCACATAGAATATCATCAGGAGAAACCTCCAACGTACATCTATGGGCTTAAGAACTGCAGCCAGATATAGTAAGCGTGCGACCGTTAAAGGGACACACAGAAAAAAAGTAAATATGGGAAGTCAATATGACTGTATTGTAAAATGTCCCAGCACTGGGCCAAATTTATGGGAAGGGGGGGATAGGAAGGGAAACAAAAGCAACCAGAAATAGGGAACATGGGAGACCCATATGTACCTGACACATAAAATACACACATGGGAGAGTGAGAAGTCTAGAGGAGGGGCGGTGTCAGCCACTCCGGCTGTAGAGGAAGGCTGGCCATCAAACCCCTGGAAATCACATAAATGGAGGCAGCCACTTGATAGCAGTTGCTGAAAGTGGGGGTTCTGAAGGCCTTATTCAAATTCTGGAGTTTCCCAGTATAGGGACCATGGGGGAAGGCAAACAGAAGCGTTCTGAAAATGTCTCATTCATACAAAACAGAGTGAATCAGAAAATTATTACATTATTATCATAAGATGGAAATGATGATTATAGGAAATAGGTATTTGTTTCCAATGATGATTAGTTCCTACTAGTGGCCATAATGCAGTATTTTCCTTCACACCATCCATTAGGCTAGGTTCACACTGTAGCGGGTCCTGCGTGCCATTTTTGCATGTGCATAGCAGCCCATTCATTTGAATAGGCTGCTGTACCTGAAGGAAATGCAAGGAAAAATTTCCTGACTCTTTTAAAACGCATCAGCATAGTCTGCAGCAACATGCAGCTTCATGCGTTGTATTTTCTGATGTGTAGGGGAGCCATTAGGAAGTAATGGACCCTGCACGTACCTGGACCTACTACAGTGTGGACCATAGCCTTCCGAACGAACAAAATTACATGCATTTTCACAGGATAAATAACTCTCCAGTTTGTATATAATAGTTTGTAAATACACTACTTTGTATTGGCCTGATCTTTCACGCGTATTTTGTGTGTGTGTATGTATGTGTGTGTGTGTGTGTGTGTGTATATATATATATATATATATATGTGTGTGTGTGTGTGTCTGCTACATTAGCTAAAAATTTGTTTGTTTTTTTTTTTTTAAAGAAACAGTATAGGACTCCATGCACACTAGCATTTTTTATAAGCTCAAAAAAAGCTGGAAAAAAATGCTGGATGAAAAACATAGATAATAGCATTTTTGTGGCAGCTTATAGTAGTGTTTAGGAGCGTCAGCATTTTATTAGTGTTTAGGAGAACACTATTTAGCTTCTAGGAGCAGAAAAAAATGCCAATAACAGCTTCTAGGAGCTTTAAAAACACTAGTGTGCATGGAGCCTAAGAGATTCAGATGCAAAAAAAAAAAAAAACCAGTTAAAAGAAAAAAAAATAAATTCTATCTACTTTTCAAGCATGACAGTCTACACCATGCTGTTGTGAGAGTGAGAATCGCAATAGGAAAAGATTGCCTAGCTCCAGCAACTTTCCTCTGCCATGGTATGTGGGAGATAAAGGGGCAGATTTTTAGGATTGATGACTCTTTCCCGCACTGTGAATGTTTGATGCTGCTCATTAAAATGTGTCCAAAGGAAAAACACATTCTTTTGTTTGGATAGTGTTTCAAATGATTAAAATCTTCAGATTTAGTTTAGCTATCTTTTCACATTGGAGAGACATAACGGGAAATGAGAGGCATCGCCCCAAAAGTGAGAAGAAATCCCCTTTTTCACCAGAACAAGAGACCCTGTTTAAAGATCCCCCTCAGTGACAAGAGTTTACAGATAGCTGCTAAAGTCTGTTTATTTTTTTTTAACAAAGGATTCAGATCATAGTTAGAGATACAGATCATACTTAAAGAAATGCAAGTGTTGTTGCACTGCAATTGCTAACATTTTGTATATTAGTAAGATTCCATGATGCATTGAAATTGCATTATAAAATCATAGAAATTCTCATACATGAGATCAATTGTACCAGAGACAGCGAGAATCAGTCTTATGAGTAACTCAAAGTATTGGCAGGAGATAAGTATATACAGTGGATATAAAAAGTCTACACACCCCTGTTAAAATGTCAGGTTTCTGTGATATAAAACAACTAGACAAAGATAAATAATTTCAGAACTTTTTCCACCTTTATTGTGACCTATAAACTGTATAACTCAGTTGGAAAACAAACTGAAATCTTTTAGAGGTGTGGAGTAAGCATAAAAAAACTACAATAATGTGGTTGCATGTGTGCACACTCTGTTATAGCTGGGGATGTAGCTGTGTTCAGAATTAAGCAATCACATTCAAAATCAAGTTAAATAGGAGTCCGTACACACCTGCCATCATTTAAATTGCCTCTGACTAACCCCAAATAAAGTTCAGCTTTTCTAGTAGGCCTTTCCTGACATTTTCTTAGTCGCATCCTAAAGCAACAGCCATGGTCCGCAAGTGAGCTTCCAAAGCATCAGAGGGATCTCATTGTTAAAAGGTATCCGTCAGAAAGGTCCAAAAGAATTTCCAATGCACTAGATATACCATGGAAAACAGCGAAGATAGTCATTATCAAGTGGAGAAAATATGGTGCAACCGTGACATTACCAACAACTGGACGTCACTCCAAAATTGATGAAAAGACGAGAAGAAAACTGGTCTGGGAGGCTGCAAAGAGGCCTACAGCAACATTAAAGGAGATGCAGGAATATCTGGCAAGTACTGGCTGTGTGGTATATATGACAACAATTCCCCGTATTCTTCATATGTCTGGGCTATGGGGTAGAATGGCAAGACGGAAGCCTTTTCTTACGAAGAAAAACATCCAAGCCCTGCTAAATTTTGCAAAAACACATCTGAAGTCTCCCAAAAGCATGTTGGAAAATCTGTTATGGTCTGATGAAACCAAGATTGAACTTTTTGGCCACAATTCCAAAAGATATGTTTGGTGCAAAAACAACACTGCACATCACCAAAAGAACACCATACCCACAGTGAAGCATGGTGGTGGCAGCATCATGCTTTTGGGCTGTTTTTCTTCAGCTGGAACTGGGGCCTTAGTTAAGGCAGAGGGAATTATGAACAGTTCCAAATACCAGTCAATATTGGCACAAAACATTCATGCTAGAAAGCTGAACATGAAGAGGAATTTCATCTTTCAGCATGACAATGACCCAAAGCATACATCCAAATCAACAAAGGAATGGCTTCACCAGAAGATGAAAGGTTCAGCCAGAACCCAGACCTGCATCTGATCGAAAATCTGTGGGGTGATCGGAAGAGGGCTGTGCACAGGAGATGCCCTTCTAACGTTCTGCTGAAACTTTGTGATTTGTATAGTATTGCTTAGACTTTGAAGAAGGGGACATACCCCGAAAGCTTGTCCTCAAAATTGTATGTTTGTGCAAATAAAAAAAGTATCACGGACAGTACTCAATTGTTTCTGTAATAAAATCAAAAAATGCTTCAACAAAGGATTAGTTTAAGGGTGTGCACACTTATGCAACCATATTATTTTAGTGTTTTATTTTTACTTGCCTCCACCTAAAAGATTTCAGTTTGTTGTTCAACTGAGTTATTATTATTAGAGTTAGATTATAATAATTAATATTATGTCTAATTTTTTTACATCACAGAAACCAGAAATTTTAACGGGGTGTGTAGACTTTTTATATCCACTGTACATTTAAAAGTTTTAGGACTTAGGGGGTAGGGCCTTGTGATATGTCAGTACTTTAGTAAGTTATGTCACTAAAGCTGTAGAGAATGTTGTTTTTGGTTTTTTTTTTCCTAGCTAAACTTAAGCTTTAATAAGTCAGTCTGATCAGATGAAATTCTGAAGTCAGTGTGTTGATGTACATACCGTATGCAGTTGTGTTCAAAATAGTAGTAGTGTGTTGAAAAAAGTGAATAAAGCTCAAAATCCTTCTAATAGCTTTTATTTCCATACACACAAATGCATTGGGAACACTACACATTCTATTCCAAATCAAAACATGAAGAAAAAAATATATCAAATTTGTGGTGTTCCTCTAAAAAAAAAATTGAAGAAAAATGAATATTAGACTGTGCAAAAAAATAGCAGTGTTTGTATTCTTCTTTACAAACTCAAACATTCACTATATAAACTGAAAAATGTTTGAAGATTTTGCTTTCCTTTGAATCAATTAATATTTCGTTGTATAAGCACTGTTTCTGAGAACTGCTGTACATCTGTGTTGCATGGAGTCAACCAACTTCTGGCCCCTGTGAACAGGTATTCCAGCCCAGGATGATTGGACTACATTCCACAGTTCTTCTCTATTTCTTGGTTTTGCCTAAGAAACTGCATTTTTGATGTCACCCCACAAGTTTTCTATTGGATTAAGATCCGGGGATTGGGCTGGCTACTCCATAACGTCAATCTTGTTGGTCTGGAACCAAAGATGTTGCACGTTTACTGGTGTGTTTGGGGTCGTTGTCTTGTTGGAACACCCATTTCAAGGGCATTTCCTCTTCAGCATAAGGCAGCATGACCTCTTCAAGTATTCTGATGTATTCAAACTGATCCATGATCCCTGGTATGTGATAAATAGGCCCAACACCGTAGTATGAGAAACATCCCCATATCATGATGCTTTAGCAACCATGTTTTACTGTCTTCACAGTGTACTGTGGCTTGAATTCAGTGTTTGGGGGTCGTCTGACAAACGGTCTCCGGCCACTAGACCCAAAAAGAACAATCTTACTTTCATCAGCCCACAAAATGTTGCGCCATTTCTCTGTAGGCCAGTCAATGTGCTCTTTGGCAAATTGTAACCTCTTCAGCACGACTTTTTTTTCAACAGTGGGACTTTGCGGGGGCTTCTTGCAGATAGCTTGGCTTCACATAGGCGTCTTCTAATTGTAACAGTACTCACAGGTAACTTTAGACCTTCTTTGATCTTCCTGGAGCTGATTGCTGGCTGAGTCCTTGCCATTTTGGCTATTCTTCTATCCATTCGAATGGTAGTTTTTTGCTTTCTTCCACGTCTTTCAGGTTTTGGTTGCCATTTTAAAGCATTTGCGATCATTTTAGCTGCGCAGCCTATCATTTTCTGCACTTCTTTATATGTTTTCCCCTCTCCAATCAACTTTTTAATCAAGGTACGCTGTTCTTCTGAACAATGTCTGGAACGACCCATTTTCCTCAGAATTTCAGAGAGAAATGCACTGTAACCAGCATGTACAACATTTGCTGCCTTCCTTCCTTAAATAAGGGCAATAATCGCCACCTGTTTTTCAAAGAATGAATGACCTCACTAATAGAACTCCACACTGCTATTATTTTGAACATGCCCCTTTCAATTAGTGATTCAATTACACAGAATCAGCAACATGCATGTCATGACTGTTGGGTCTGTTGGATTTCTATTACTCTACTACACCTGCTAGAAAATTATTTGCCATGTAGAAATATCATTTCTATCAAAATCAGTGATTGATCAGGTTAGTGATGTCTGACTGCTATTATTTTGAACACAACTGTTTATCATTGAGAAATTATTTGTTCTTTCAAAGTGATGTGTTTGTAACAGTACCCACACCTGTGGCTGACAGAGGTTTGTAACTATACAGTAAATACATCAGTTTCATGAGATGCAGAATTGCAGCCAGGATATTGGAACGTATATATTAGGTGATATATACTATGCCTTTTGTGGGATCATCTTACTTACACCTGTCATCTCAGTGTAAGGTCCAGTTCACACTACATGCATTCCAGTTGATTTTTTTCTGCATCCAAAACACACAGAAAGTAGGTTATATGGTTGTCAATGTCATAGTTCACAGCAGTGCTTGCAGTTCCAGTGCATTCCGGATGCAGAAAAGTAGAACAGGCTGCATTTTTCCAGCACAGAACTGTACTGGAACGTGGTAAGACTCAGCAAAAATGCACTGGAACGCACATGTCCCTATTTACATTGAAGAAAAAGAGAGGAAAAAATTAACTGAAACGCATCGAAAACAAACCAGAACATGTAAAAAATGCATCAGAACGCACCAAAAATGCGCATGCAGAAACTCATCTGGACTGCGTTTCTATAGTGGGAACCGACTACAGTTCAGGCTGACACAGGTGTGGAACTGTACAATGAATTGATTGGTTTGATTGGATGAAAGGCTACAAATTAGTACATTGGTGCATAGATATGTGCATGAGAAGATTTCTGTAATGTCTGTGTGGGAGTATTCCACTTGCTACACTGATGTAGGGCCCATAGCCCTGCACTGGATGTACGGAGGCTGATGAGAAATTCCACTTCTGATGCATATGGGAGTACCACCTGTTGGGGGAGAAGAGAATTGGATAAGTAAAACTGCTTTTCCCTTCCCCTAGACTTAAGCATTGAAATCTTGTGGTACAGAGGCAGCCCCACTGCAAGGAAAGATATTTACTTTACCTCAAACTAGGCTTGAACAGCTAGGCTGAATTAAAGCATCAATAAATATATAAAGACTTTGTTGCTCCTGTCCAGTGAGTATGAGAATGCAAGTGATCCTTTTAATGCCAGAATCTGTTTAAAATGTAAACTTCTGGGTTGGTGAATGTGAAGCATTCACATTGCAAGTTATAATTTCTTAGCCTAAAGGGGACCTTGCGTGAAATAAAAAGATCTTTTTTGTAGCCCCCACCCCCCAGCTCAGTAAGAAATATAGAGTTCAAGACACAAGTATTAAAAGACATTAAAAATTCTCGCTATACTCCTTGACTTTGGGCCAACTCAGTGATGCATGGGTAATGTCACTGGGCTTTTTGGGGGATCCTGACAAATCAAACCATCCCAATCTTGCAGGAAGTCGCTCTTGCACAATGCTTGACTTTTTGTGAGAGTTGGTGTTTTTTCAAAGCCGAGGATCCCAAAGAAACAAGGGACCTTGAATTTTCCTGCAAGGCCAACTTTAAGGATGCAGGTGTACATTATTTTCTACCGTAGCTACCGTAACAGTACTTTGTACTTTTAGGCAGCCCATAAATTAATAATTTTTTACATTCAAGGAGTTGAATGAATGAAAATGCCTCACTTCCTCCATCCACGGATTTGATGTGGATGAGGGAATCCCTTCCGCTGTGGTATTGTATTCAGACAGCAGGGCAGCCTTCCCCGCCATCAGAATACAGTGATCAGTGTGCTGGCTATAGCCTGTGGCACTGATTGTTCAGGGAGAACCCGACAGGCTAATTGTACAAAAGTCGATCAATAGATGTATGTGTACAACCAGTCTGCCCATATATTGATGGCAATTCGGTCCCTGCTGACCCAGCTCAGCTGAATTTCGATGCATGTATGGTTGGCTTTAGTAAAAGCATTCAGAAGTCATTACTGTAGTTGTAAGTTGTTGTTTTTTTTTTAAAACAATAATCCTAGTAGATATAACAAATTCAGCAGCTTGTATATTAAAAGGAAAACATGACTCTATGTAAAGAAAAGCACAAAAACTTAATAGAATTATCTATATTAACTGTTTATGTTGCATCTTGTTTAACAGCTTTTCTCAACAAAGTCTGATGTATGGAGCTTTGGGATTTTGTTGTGGGAAATATATTCCTTTGGGCGAGTGCCTTATCCACGCATTGTAAGTATTATTATGCTTTGTAAGTATCATCCTTTTTTGTTAGAGGGCTGTGTTGAAGTGGGTAAAATTTGGTGTTTATGGTACAAAATGACCACCCTCTGAGATCTGTGTGTTCTGTACAAAACACTTTTTCACTTTCCTTGAAAAAATCTGACTAAATAGACTGATAAGATGATATTGGAGGAAGAGAGATGTCTGGATCGATGCTACTGTTTTTCACAAGCATACTATGAGAAAATACAGCACAGTGCTGCTATCTGTTTTTAAGCATTAGTAGGTATACAGTGGGGATCGAAAGTTTGGGCACCCCAGCTAAAAATTTGTATTAATGTGCATAAAGAAGCCAAGGAAAGATGGAAAAATCTCCAAAAGGCATCAAATTACAGATTAGACATTCTTATAATATGTCAACAAAAGTTAGATTTTATTTCCATCATTTACACTTTCAAAATAACAGAAAACAAAAAAATGGTGTCTACAAAAGTTTGGGCACCCTTCAGAGTTAATATCTTGTACTGCCCCCCTTTGGCAAGTATCACAGCTTGTAAACGCTTTTTGTAGCCAGCCAAGAGTCTTTCAATTCTTGTTTGAGGTATCTTTGCCCATTCTTCCTTACAAAAGTCTTCTAGTTCTTTGAGATTTCTGGGCTGTCTGTCACGCACTGCTCTTTTAAGGTCTATCCATAGATTTTCAATTATGTTGAGGTCAGGAGATTGTGAAGGCCATGGCAAAACCTTCAGTTTACACCTCTTGATGTAATCCCCCGTGCATTTCGAGGTGTGTTTAGGATCATTATCCATTTGTAGAAGCCATCCTCTCTTTAACTTCAGCTTTTTCACAGATGGCATCAAGTTACCATCCAAAATTTGCTGAAATTTTATTGAATCCATTTTTCCTTCTACTTGTGAGATGTTCCCTGTGCCACTGGCTGCAACACAACCCCAAAGCATGATTGATCCAACCCCATGCTTAACAGTTGGACAGAGGTTCTTTTCATTAAATTCTGTGCCCCTTCTTCTCCAAACGTACCTTTGCTCATTCCGGCCAAAAAGTTAAATTTTAACCTCATTGGTCCACAGAACTTGTTTCCAAAATGCATCAGGCTTGTCTATATGTTCATTTGCAAAGTTCAAACGATGATTTTTGTGGTGAGGACGTAGAAGAGGTTTTCTTCTGATGACTCTTCCATGAAGACCATATTTGTACAAGTATCTCTTTATAGTGGAATAGTGTACCACAACTCCAGTGTCTGCCAGATCTTTCTGGAGGGATCGTGCAGTCAAACGTGGGTTTTGAATTGTTTTTCTCACAATCCTGCAAGCTGTCTGATATTTTTCTTGGTCTTCCAGATCTTGCTTTAACTTCCACTGTTCCTGATGACTGCCATTTCTTAATTACATTCCGAACAGAGGATATTGACATCTGAAAACGCTTTGCTATCTTCTTATAGCCTTCTCCGGCTTTGTGAGCGTCAACTATTTTCAGTTTCAGTTTTCTAGACAACTGCTTAGAAGAACCCATGGTGCTGATTGTTGGGGGCAAGGTCAGATGAGTCTGGGCATTTAAAACCTTTGAGATTGACATCACCTGGTCTTCCCAGACGATGATTGAGAACAATCTATGACACTGGCAGGTCTCAGCTTTGCAAAGGGGGCAGTGCATGCTATAAATTCTGCAGGGTGCCCAAACTTTTGCAGACGCCATTTTTTTGTTTTCTGTTATTTTGAAAGTGTAAATGATGGAAATAAAATCTAACTTTTGTTGACATATTATAAGAATGTCTAATCTGTAATTTGATGCCTTTTGGAGATTTTTCCATCTTTCCTTGGCTTCTTTATGCACATTAATACAAATTTTTTAGCTGGGGTGCCCAAACTTTCAATCCCCATTGTACATAGTTGAAATCTAATCCCATTATCTGTTATATTTTTTAATTCTAGCATTGCTTCCACGTCGCAAAAGAAGACCGAACCCAAAAAAAAAAAAAAAGTTGTGGATGAAGGAAGATTGTTCAAGGAAAATTGGACAGAAAACTACTGTTTTGTCGAGGCAAATGCTAAGGCACTTTGCTTAGTTTTGTAGGGAATTTTTTTCAGTTTTCAAAAACTACAACTTGAAAAGGCATTATATGCAAGAGCATGCCTACAAATTCAAGGCATGTCAAGGAATGTGTTGTAAGACAAACTAGCGATAGGTATATTATCCATATCAGTGATCATTAACTTGTGATCTTCCTGACTCTTTCTGCTCATCAGCCTGTCCTTATTGTTAGTGTATTTTATGTGTGGTCCATGACAATTCTTTTTCCAATGTGGCCAAGGAAGGTCAAATGTTTGACACCCCTGCTCTCCTGAATCTGTTGATGCTTTATGGACTTTCATCAGCAGGCATCTGCTTGTCAGATTTGCAGGGTTGCCACCTGGGCTTCTGTTCACACAGAATTTCTACAAGGTGGATCTTCAGGCCTCATCTAAAGCTCTTGGAATTTTTTCAAACCATTTTTAATCATTTTGTTACATGGGCCTGTGGGCATTTTTGTAGTGTTGCCCGCCCCTCTTTTGTACTGCTTTCAGACACCTCAGTTGTAAAAACTAAAGATCCTGTGTTTCCATAACCATACGACTAGTAGTCAAAATAGTAGTTTTTTTTACTTGTCAGTAAAATTATATTTCTTGGCTTACAGGATGGGACTCCTCTGTTCTTATGATCTCCCTATATCTTGCAACAAAACTGTGGCTAGCTGGGAGTGGAGGAGGTTATACAGTGGGGCAAAAAAGTATTTAGTCAGCCACCAATTGTGCAAGTTCTCCCACTTAAAAAGATGAGAGAGTGGCCTGTAATTGGCATCATAGGTAGACCTCAACTATGAGAGACAAAATGAGAAAAAAAATCCAGACAATCACATTGGCTGATTTGGAAAGAATTTATTTGCAAATTATGGTGGAAAATAAGTATTTGGTCAATATCAAAAGTTCATCTCAATAATTTGTTATATATCCTTTGTTGGCAATGACAGAGGTCAAACGTTTCCTGTAAGTCTTCACAAGGTTGGCACACACTGTTGCTGGTATGTTGGCCCATTCCTCCATGCAGATCTCCTCTAGAGCAGTGATGTTTTGGGGCTATCGCTGGGCAACACGGACTTTCAACTCCCTCCAAAGGTTTTCTATGGGGTTGAGATCTGGAGACTGGTTAGGCCACTCCAGGACCTTGAAATGCTTCTTACGAAAGCCACTCCTTCGTTGCCCGGGCGGTATGTTTGGGATCATTGTCATGTTGGAAGACCCAGCCACGTTTCATCTTCAATGCCCTTGCTGATGGAAGGAGGTTTGCACTCAAAATCTCACGATACATGGCCCCATTCATTCTGTCCTGTACATGGATCAGTCGTCTGGTCCCTTTGCGGAGAAACAGCCCCAAAGCATGATGTTGCCACCCCCATGCTTCACAGTAGGTATGGTGTTCTCTGGATGCAACTCAGCATTCTCTCTCCTCCAAATACAACAAGTTGTGTTTTTCTACCAAACAGTTCTATTTTGGTTTCATCTGACCATTCTCCCAATCCTCTTCTGGATCATCCAAATGCTCTCTAGCAAACTTCAGACGGGCCCGGACATGTACTGGCTTAAGCAGGGGGACACGTCTGGCACTGCAGGATCTGAGTCCCTGGCGGCGTAGTGTGTTACTGATGGTAGCCTTTGTTACGTTGGTCCCAGCTCTCTGCAGGTCATTCACTAGGTCCCAGCGTGTGGTCCTGGGATTTTTGCTCACCGTTCTTGTGATCATTTTGACCCCACAGGGTGAGATCTTGCGTGGAGCCCCAGATTGAGGGAGATTATCAGTGGTCTTGTATGTCTTCCATTTTCTAATTATTGCTCCCACAATTGATTTGTTCACACCAAGCTGTTTGCCTATTGCAGATTCAGTCTTCCCAGCCTGGTGCAGGTCTACAATTTTGTTTCTGGTGTCCTTCGACAGCTCTGTCGTCTTCACCATAGTGGAGTTTGGAGTGTGACTGTTTGAGGTTGTGGACAGGTGTCTTTTATACTGATAACAAGTTCAAACAGGTGCCATTGATACAGGTAATGAGTGCAGCACAGAGGAGCCTCTTAAAGAAGAAGGTACAGGTCTGTGAGAGCCAGAAATCTTGCTTGTTTGTAGGTGACCAAATACTTATTTTCCATCATAATTTGCAAATAAATTCTTTCCAAATCAGCCAATGTGATTGTCTGGATTTTTTTTCTCATTTTGTCTCTCATAGTTGAGGTCTACCTATGATGCCAATTACAGGCCTCTCTCATCTTTTTAAGTGGGAGAACTTGCACAATTGGTGGCTGACTAAATACTTTTTTGCCCCACTGTATAGGGGGATGTCCCTGCAACCACCTTTTTTGCCAGTCCAGTCACCTGAAATTAGCTGCATATAACCCTTGGTAAAAACATAAATTGTGTCTTGTACTGTATTCCAAGAAATGGAATTTACTGGTATGTAATTTTTTTTTTTTTGCTGAAATTGGTCTGATCGTTAAGGTTAAATAACCACTAGAGGTTAAAATGGTCTTTGGGTCTACTTCATTGCATGTCAGTGAGAATTATTTTTGCTCTAAGGAAAAGGGAGCATTCCTTAATCCTTGGTAGAAATTTAAATATGTACATTGCCTTATTCTAAATACTTTGAGTAACTGACATCCCTAACTGTCTATATCTTCTCAGGCCCTGAGAGATGTTGTACCAAGAGTGGAAAGAGGATACAAGATGGATGCTCCAGATGGATGTCCTCCTGTTGTGTATGACCTGATGAAAAAGTGCTGGCATCTGGATGCCAACCAGCGACCAACCTTCAGGCAACTCCGGGAACAGCTAGAGCATATCAAAGCCAATGAGCTGTACCATTAAAGCAGGTGCAAGTTCTGAATACCACCTGTTGTCACAGAGCCCAGAGAGAAAGTGACTCAGCCTATTAGAAGTGTTGGCCAGAGTGCCAAGAGGACTTCTGTGTATACAGTAAATACATATTGGGCTCTCTGAACTCCCCCTGCCTTGCACTACCTGCCGCCCTTGTGCCCAGAAACAGGCTGAAGATTTCTACTGGTCTCCAGAAGAATGCTGATGTTCTCCTAAATGTTTTTGTTGTCACATCTCACTCTCCCTACTGTGTCCACTTACTCATTGGAAAATAAGCCTTGAGTGGAAATAATAGGTCCACTGGGCTTGGTACTCCTGAACTGAAGAGGACAATGCGTTGCCAACATCCAGGAGAAATGGGGACCAAATCCAAAGTGTTTATGTAAAGCCGCCACACTTTCTGACAAAGACAAACAATCACAGTCACCAGAAGAATCATTGCTTTATACAATCAGCAATGGGTACTTTTATTAACCATTAATGCAAATAACGATGCATGCTTAAGACCAGGAAATTCTCTTCTGACTCTTTTCTGCCTTATTTAATAGGTTGCTTATAAACTGACATACTGAACTGATAAGAGGCCTTTGCCGATAATAAAACACAGGAGGTGATATAGTTCATGCAACTTCTGTAGTCTCCTGTACTCATGAACCGTATTGAATCAGTAGTGGATGTCCTTATCTAAAAAAAAAAAAAAAAAAAAAAAAAAAAAAAAATCTCTCAAAGTTAGAATGTTCCATCCTTGTTACATAATCTCTTTTGGCCTCATCACTCTTAACATAGCCACTGTGATAAACCTTTATATGACAGAGGACCACTGACATTTCAGTAGTTGGGACAAATCATTTTACCGCTATCATTTCAGGTGGAGCATGTGCTATTACTTGGTCAGCAGTGATCACCTGATACAGTTTTAGAGTTTTCACAAACTATTCACTGCCACAACAGGTAGCAACACATTTGTCTGCACCTTACAGATCTCCAATACCTTGAATTGTGTCACTGTCCCGTGTGCTGCTGAGTCATCCTCCTTGGCTTTTCCAATGTTTTTAATGGTGGTGGCAGCATTGTGAAAGCAAAAACACAACACAAACTATTATTGGCAGGCTCCAATAATTTTCATAAAGCCCAGTATTACAAAGCAGGAGGCTGACTAAATACAATCTAGTTGTTGACCTGTTAATTGTTTTTAAAGTGTATTGTCTCAAAAGCCTGATTCCTCATGCAGTCCTTTCATCTGCTTTCTTGGTTTGCATGTTCTTGTGCACTTCATTGTACCTGAAAATTTCAGTTCCTATTATCTTACAGTGTTGTAATGATAAAGGGCCAATCAGTAAGTCAGTTTAGATGCAGGTCCTGCAGATTTTTTTACAATTACATGGCTCAGATAAAATTGTGAAGCTTACAAATAAATTACAACACATTTACAATGAAAACATCCTGAAGTAAAGGATATTCAGTGACAAAGCATAGCTTCAATTGTTTCCAAGCAAATCACCTAATGCTTGTTGACATTTAAGATTGTTTTGAATTTTCAGGCTTGCTCAGGGAATGGGTATATCAAATATAAGGCTGCAATTAGGCTTTAGACATAATAGCAGTACAGTAAACTGCATGTAAATCTTCTGCCAACCCACCCTCCCCTTGGCACATATTAGTCACATTATTAAACATCCTCTTTTGTTTTAAACCTTCGTAGCTCTTTGGCTAAATTTCAGCCAATTACCCATTTTCTATCATTTGAAACAGTTTGCCCAAACAACCTCTGAGAATCAAAAACAAAACCTTTCTTAGTCATAGAGTACAGGGCACTGGATCTGTGGTCAATACCATTACCAACTACCTTCAGGTGACACTGGCAAAAAGAGAAAGCTCCACCCCCCTTAATTCTCAGCTAGCTTCCGTTTCTTTGCAGCCTTACTTTGTGGTGCCTAGTGTACCTACATGGACAATTTTTGGTTTTTCTGGACTTGCGTGCCCTGCCCTGACTTTTTCTAAGCATGCTTTCTAACTGGCAATGGCTCCCAGCTCTACTTTATTGGCACAGTATAGTAGTTTGTCCACACCACTTGGGTGTACTGCCTGCATGTGCTCGTCACTGAAGCATTCCCCTCCCACTTCACAGAAATGGTGGTCATAAGTACCCCTCCAGGGACAATATTTCAGAAGCATGCAAATCACAAGCACAAGGGAAAGGGCGAGATGAAATTGCTAGCTCTGGCTAAGCAACTAGCTCCATCTGTGCTTTGCAGACACTTTGTCAGATCTTCGATATGTGTCTTCTCTTCAAACACATGCACCAGGATTTTTGGCTTAAATGTAAATGCTGGTCAGCTGAGCTTCCATGTAAGAAGCACCTTAAGTAGTTACCCCTAAAAGGTGAACTTTGCAGGGGGTAAGAATAGTCTTCTCACCCAGTAAAAAAATGGTCAAGAGTGTCCTTTTCCAAAGGCTACAAATCGTAGTTTTTTACACTGCCTCTTCCCCACACCATGCTTTCAAATATTACATAGGACATATTCTGCCCTTTCTCCAATCTGATCTGGATCAGCATCTGGCTTTGAGTACCACCAAAGGACAAATCTCAGCCTTGGCCATTCTGTTTTTAAGAGACCCTTATCCCTCTCACTCCCGCATCCAATCCGTTTAAATATGAACCGTTACTTAGGCAATCTGAGTCCTTCTTTGTACTTTCTGATGGTTCCCCTCAGGGATCTCACCGGCTTCTCGCTCCAACATTGCTAGGTGGATCAAACAAGTTCTCATTAGAACCTGAACTGTTGGTGTTCGATCAGTTTTTCAGCTTCTGGCATCTGTTTCTTAAATTCACAAGGCTGTCACCTGGTCTTCTGTTCTGTCGAGTAGATGTTTAGGCCTCTGATGCCAGTTTCAAGCGTGGGTTGCTACTAGCGTCTCTCTTAGGCTGTCCAAACTTTTTGACCTGTTTGTTACGTGGGTCTGCTCTCATGTGATGTGTTGTCTACTCCTCAGTTGGACTGCTTTTGGATGTCCCAGTGGTAATGGCTACAGATCCCTTGTCCTGAACTGTACAAATAAGAAAATAGGATTTTTGACTTGCCAGTAACATTTGTCACTTTGAGCACAGTTTTCTCCCCTCTATTTATATGACCCCCTGTTGCATGCAACAAAACTGAGGCTAGCTAGGAGTGGGAGAGGTTGTATAGGTGGGTGAGCCTGCAGACTTTTTTTTTCACCAGTGTCCAGTCACCTGAAGGTAGCTACATATTAATCAGTGGTAATGACTACAGATCTTGCATCCCTTACTGTACTCTAAGAAACTGATTTTACTGGTAAGTCAAAATCCTATTTTGCAATAATGACTATGTATTTCTGTATACTCCTTATAGGAGACTGTGTAACCATTATTTATTTCATCACCCAGACTGCATTTCTGGGTCAGCAAAACTGAGAACCATTCATATGCTTTTACCAATGTATCCCTTAAAGAAGACCTATTCTTCCATGAAAAGCTATGTAAACAGTCATGATGTGATGGATCAAGAGTGAGGTACCCTCCTTTGCTGATTATTTAACCAAAAGACTAGGCCATTGGTCAAATCGTCTCTGCTTAGGGGGAGGAGAAGAGTTCAGAATGGTCATTCCTTCTCTCAACAGAGATCATGTGACTAAATGCCTAGGTGTTGGATATGTGACTGGCACTAGAGCAGGATTTCGGCCCTCCCAATACTATCCATCCAAGTGACAACTGTGGTTATCATAACTTTAATTTATTACTGGACTGTAGGTCAGCTTTAAGTTATCTTTTCCTTATTCCCCTGCAGGAGAAGTGGTCAGGGTATATAGATCCGGGAACTGATGTTATATAAAAATGTTTTGAGAATAACTAGACATGTTTTTAAGAGCTAATAGCATCATTTTTGCAGGAGTTTCCTTGACAACCACCATTTTTTTTTGTCTGATTCGTGTGCTTGTTTTTTTTTTTGGGTTTTTTTTTTATAATTTGCCATTTTTGTGGGGGGATGGGGGAGGGTAAGAGGGACAGTTTTGTCATATAAAATATATATATAAATATATCTTTTTGTTTTTTTTTTTTTGGTTTTTGTTTTGGTTTTTTTTTACATTTTTGTTACAAATCACAAAGATAATCTGCCTTTACAGTTAGGGAGTTGTTTTACTGAAGTACGAATCTTAAAGTTTTATTGTATACAAAGAAAAAAAAAAAGGTTCAGGGAGGACGGGTGGGATTGAACATACAATCATGCTGGAAAGAAGGACTTGCTTTGATTTACTCTTGTGGAAATTGTGTGCATGCTGTCTAGTGTCTTCATTTCCAAAGGCCTTTCCCTTTTTCATTTCTGTCCAGTGCTTTAAACACATGTATATGCTGCAATTGGTGGGATTAAAACATAATAAACCATTCCATATGGGAATTTTATTTGATGTTGTCTCATTAATTTTAGTCCTAATACAGATTTCTGCCTCAGTCAGCTCAAGTATTATTGCTTATTGGCTGCTGTGGGTTCTTATTTGCAGTGTCCTATTTACTAACTTTATTACATTTGCACTATTTTACCATACACAGCTCTCTATTTAACGGTATTGTCTTTCATTCAGAGGGGAAGAGATGATGACATGCAACCTCTGAAAATTTTTACCACTCAAGCCAGAGAAAGAGAAAAGATATTTAGAGGGTTACTTTCTGTGAAGATATGTAGGGTCCACTTTGAGCTTAAAGCGGAGCTCCACCTAAAAGGGGAAGTTCCGCTTTAAGGACTGCTCCCCATTAAGGATTGGCATCTTTGGGGGGCGGGGGGAGCGGGTACCCGAATTTGACAAGTACCCGCTCCCACTTCCGGTCTGATCGCCTAGGCAATCGGAAGCGGAAGGTGTCCTACCTCCCTGTAGTTTTTTGGGACACGTGACAGGAGCCAGAAGACTACAGGACCATTCATGAAGCGCAGCGCTACTCGCACATGCGCAGTGGGTACCCGGCTATGAAGCTGCAA